CACCGCCCCTCGACAGCGACCGCCGGCCGCGGATGCGCCGCTCCGCCCCGGTTGCTGGCGAAGGAAGAAAAGTTTGGGGGCGACTTAGGGCCGCGGGAGCGCCGGAGGAGAAGGAGGAAGATGCACGGTTTTCCCGGCTGATCGGGAAGGAAGGATGACCGAGGGAGGATGTGCACCAGCAGCCAGATCATCGGGAGCCTCCTGGTGCTCTCCGTGCTGGAGATAGGGTTAGGGGTGTCCAGCGTGGCCGTGGGGGCGGTCAGTTTCAGCCTGGTCCTTACAGAGCATAAACCTCAGCTGGGAGACTCTTCTCCGGTATGGAGCGGGGTGTGTGTACGTTAGCCATTTCACTCTCTCTTTAACTCTTTATGATGATGATCAGACCGTGTGAAGGCGTCCCCCTCCCTTCCCTTTCCTCCCTTTCCGCGTGTGCATGCTGCGCTGAGAGCCTCTCCGGGTCCATTTCCGATGTGCATGGGGTATGGTCTGCATACTCGTGGGGTGGAGGGGAAGGGGGCACGGTGGGGAGAGATGTATATGTGTTGGCAGGGGAGACCCCATCTTTCCCCCTCCTTTGCATTTTTCAATTTTGTTGTGAACAATTGAACTTTCTGTGAACCTATTGTCACACCTGGGAAAGCCTGGTGCCTCAAGTGGAACATGGGCCACAGCTTTCAATCTTTAAATTGGCTGTGAGTCTTTCTTTTAAAAAAGAACAGCCCTGTCCATTATGACAAGACTGTGAAAAGATGTTTTAAAATAATGTCAAAGGTATGTCAACTGAGTTCTGAGCTTTTAGAGGAAAAAGAGAAAGAGGAAATCAGAAGGAAAAGGAAAGATATGTTCTCATGATCTGGACATCCTGAGCTTCTCATAAAATGAACAAAAAAAATCAAACACCAATAATGGGTTAATAGAAGCAGCATGTTCCTATCACAGAGCATTTCTCACTTCTCAGAAACCTTTCTTAATTTTCAGTTTGAGATATGCATGTTTCTAGGAAGAATTCTCCACCAGATGGTTATTTATATTTATAAAACAAAGAGTAGGAAATATTGACTATTCAGCATAAACATGAGTGGGCATTTTTGAACTCCAAAGCTGGTTTTGGCCAGCTTGGATTGCACAGCAGTATTTCTAAAAGGATTGTTTGCTTTCCTTGAGATAAGATGATAGATGCAAAACACTCTTGGTTATTCAGCAGCACAACCTCCTGTAGTTTATAGATTCATTCTGACAAAGTGCTTCATGTAATATTCTCACTGTCAATAATTATTAATTATTGAGAACAGTCATAAATATTTTTGGCAGTATATAAACACAAACATAATTCTGCACTGCAGAACAGGTAGGTGAGAAATGAGAATGAAGACCAGATAAGATAAGACAGTAGCCAACAGGTAATGAGGTTGTTAAAATCACTTCAAAGAGAGAGATTTCTGAGCACTGCTGATGAAGAAAAAAGATTAGTCAAAAACATGTGTCTATCTGAAGATTTAATAACAGAGAGCAATATCTTGGGTTCCACTGAAGTCAAAGAGTTTTGACCAGTCAGTGAGATCAATATTTTATGCAGTGATTGCATTTTGTGACAATACTATCACAGCTGATACCATTTCATGACAATGCACATTTCCTGCACAACTGCCTCATTCGTTTTTATGGTTTCTGTTACCCCAGAGTTTGTACTAGCCGTAGATTATGACCCTATTACATTAGAATTTGGCTCCAAGGACCTTAAAATCAAAGCAAGAGACAGAGGTAGGATGAAAGGATGTAAGGGAGTATAAAGAGAACAAACCAAAATTGATTGGTATAACAAGTGGTTTCATTAACACACCAGCAGTCTGGCTGATTTCAAGCTGTTCGTAGGTAATATTTTAGAGAGGAATAAGACAGAGGACAGTGGAGTGATTTTGCGGATGTTTATAGAAAATTCTCCCCATATGTGAGTGCAGAGGCATAGAAGGGAACCCAAAGAGACTTGTTTGAAAATGTAACAAGTGGGTGAAGGGTGTCCACAACCAGAGCCAGCAGATGCAGGCATCACCTCTTAGGAACTGGGCAAACAACTGCAGGTTGGGTAGTCAGAGAGAGGTCACAAAGAGACTGTGAAGTGGAAGCAAGCAGCTTATGCTTTATGTAGCAGAGGAAATGAGATATCACAGCAGCATGTAGAGAGGGGTGACATCATTATAAAGGCTTATTTCCTTGACATAATGATCTTAGGTCTAAATTGTCACCATTATGGCACCCTCTTTGTATGACTCCAACAGTTTTAATTGTCTGTTAGATTGTGTTCTGACTAGAGTACTACCAGGTGAGACAGGACAAGAAAGGGACCAGAGATCTACCATTCTCCAGGGATGCATAGGGCTATGGGTCACTAGGTTCAAATTAAAACAACTTGAGAAAGATTGGTTTGCACAAGATGCCCTTCTGCTCACTGGAGTGAGCACACTGAGCTCCTGTTGCCTGTATTAAAGAATATATCTTGCATAAAATATTTTTTTTTCCAATTCACACTCTTGAATCAAGGTTTTCCTTTGAGAAATGAACATTAAGGAAAGGGACATTAAAGGAAAACCAATACAAAACACTGGAGTCAAGTTGAACAGTGTCATGCTTCCTGTTGTAATTTACCTGGAAATATGCTGGAAACTTTTTACCCTATTCTATCCTTTTATGTGGGTGGAACTCAGCAGAGGCCCAAGTTCATAAGGAAGTGGATGAAGATAGCATCACCATGGAAACCTTAACCTGAATTCCTAAAATTTGGGCATTTAAAATCATGCACATTCTATTTTCTGTACTTGCCTCCCTATGACACTTTGCATTTGGTGCACATTAGCTTTCTTCTTAAAAGAGTTGTTCTTATTGTTCCTTTTCCTGAGCAAACCACTCAGCCACAAAATTTACTACCATACCTAACTTCAAGCATGTGTATTCCACCCATAGGGTTAGACATACAAGTGAAGTTAAGCACAGGTTGAAGCGCTCTGGTCATTGTATGCCCTGTATTATGTATAAGCAAGCCAGGGAAAGTGGAGTAGCAAGAATGAAGAAATGGAAAGCATAGACAATGTCTGATCAAAAATGCATGGAAATTGGAAAAAATGTTTCTAAATTTGTTGCTCTCATTGGAGTTGAGCTGGATAAGATAGTAAGAATTCTTTAAAAAGTAGCCAAAAGAAAACAACTGAAGGTGTGACTGACTTCTTAAATTATCCAGAGATGACTATCCAATTTATTTTGCATTATATCCAATCTGTCGTTTTTAAAATAGGTCATGGCTGCTAAATTGCACAACAAACAAACAAACAAACAAATAGTCCTATACAACCTATGGTGAATATGTTGTTCATTTCTGAATTTTCTTTCTGATTGTTACAATTGTATTGGTATAGTCTACTCCACAGGCTGTACTTAGTGTCTCCCAGACTTTTCTTTCCCCAGAAATTAAGGTATATTTCTGAAATCCACCATTCCTGTTCACGTACATGACGTACTATAGAAACGATCCTACCAATCAACATGCTGAATCACTAACACAGCAAGAATGACAGCATCCATAGCAAAGGCTCTTACACACACACACACACACACACACAATCAGAAGACAATAATTCAAAGACTATTCACAAATATTTTTGAAATGGCCACATACTTTCCCATCTATATTTAGAACATAGTGGTTGCATAACTATCACTGTGAATAGTGACTATATATTCACACACACACATATGCATATGTCTATAATTCTCATTTATTCTGCAGTAGTGAATTAATTCTTGCAATAAATGAGATTCTTTCAGAAAGAGAGAGAGAACGAGAGACAAAAGCTACATCTTCATAAATCATCTATCTTAATATGCAAGAGAGATACCTGATGATTCACTTGTGGCTATGTCCCTCAAGAGTAAGTTTCTTCCCTTATAAAGACAAATATCTAAATGTATTGGAGAGATATGCATTCTCTGGATGTTGGTCAGACAGTCTACCTGTCTTTAGAGGCAGAATTATTGTTTCCATGATACCTGATTTTAGTACATGGAAGTCTGCCCATTAAAAATCTGCATTTACAGTTTGGCTACAGAAATTTGCTCCAAGTTGGCACTTGAAATATTTTATTTCAATGACTTTTTTTTTACCCAGGATTTGAAGGAAAAGAAAAAGGGTCAGTTGGTATGGAACTCTCTCAGAGAAAGAACATAGACTGTTAAATCAATGTTGGTGGCCTCAAATTTTAAAACATTAAATTTTGCATTTAGTTTTTACTGCTGCCAAGTTTCCTTTGGAAAGAACAGTCAAACATTTTTTTTCTCAAAAGAACACTAAGAAATTCATATTATTGTTTAGTATGCAGACAAAATGCAGATATGATCCTACTTTATTTTAACATGTGTGTTGCGTTTTCATCAAATTGACCATATTTTTGGCTGCCTCCTGCTTGTGATGAAATGAATCGCAGTGCTGTCAGTGAGCTCAGTGGAAGCTGAAGAAGTTCTGTACCTATAGATGAGGGAGGATGCACCAAGCATGGGAGCTTCCTGCCTTACATGGAACCAGGAAAATTCACTCCAGCTGTGAAGTCTTTTAGCAGGTTTTTCTTTATCATTCAGGCACTCCAGAAGCATAAATTAATCTGGAAGGTCGTCTGTCCAAGGGGACTTCTAGTTCCTGGGTTGTATTTAGGAGGATCTGTTGGATATAGACTGACTTAAGCTTATCCTTAAGTGTTTTGCTCAGATAAGACTTAGTTCACCTGCAGGGAATAATCTACAGTTTATTACTTTTTGAGATGCAAGCAGTCATACTTCTGATACAGAACCAACAGAAAGCATTATCTACTATTAGGGCCTGATAGGCTCTAAACAAGTAAATAAATATTATTATTTTGTGCTGAGAATTTGAGTGTTTTTCCAGATGATCAGAGGGTTTTTTTTTAATCACTGTTGGCAGGCAGAATTTCAGGTTCAGAGACCCCCTTCTAAATTGCCTTGAGTGTTTCTGAAAACCCTTTCCCATTTTTAAGGCATCTCTGCAGGCCTAGAACCAGATGAATGGAAATACTAATCACAGGGACTAGGATAGAATTTAATGAATGTGTCTTGAATCATTCGGAACTGTAGCACCACTTTAGCTGATGTGACCAAACAGCACAGTGCCAGGACAAGGTATTAGCTCAGATTGGCCATGTTTTAACACTATGTCTCACTCCAAATAGTAGAGCCCCTCTCTCAACATGACTGATTTGGTGAGGCACATAGTTTGGTTGAGGCAATGCTGTTGCTTCTGGTTCTGGGTCTCAGTGACTTACAGCCAGCTAGAC